TAAATATATGAAATATATGAAAAATTGACGTGGGTACTCAAATGAAAGGTCTCGATGAGTGAAACATCAGAATGAGCTTATATCTTAAAAAATGTCAATAGTTCTCAAGATACAAGGTCATTTCTTAATTACACTCATTAAAAGCTTATTAAATATTAAAAAATCCTCCTATCTGTATATTCCCGGTAGATTCTTCAAAAATCAAGCTTAAATGCTAGAATAAAAAAAAACCGTATTTAAAAAAAAAGTTACAATAGTTTATTATTTTAATTACATTACATATTATTTTTTTTATAAATTATACGGGGCATTCCACGCCAAATCAACCACTTTTGACCCTGACCCCTTTTGATTTGGCTGAAAGTTTACCATCCTTTTCTACCCTATCAAAAACGTCTCTTATAATTTTTTCAAATTTTTTTACCCAACCAAAAAAAAGTTCCGAATTTTTCAAAAAAACCGCTTTTTTATTTTTAAATTGCCATAATTTTTTCAAAAATTGGCTTATCGGGACGTTTTTTTTTTTCAAAATTTTTGTTATTAAATGTTCTTTTTGGAAAAAAATATAAAAAAATTCTTTAAAGCTATCTTCATCGTTAGTTTTAAAATTTTTAGAAAAAACTCCGAATTTTTTGATGAATACCATTTTTAGTTTCTTTTTTCTTTTTCTCATTCTAAACTTTGACATTTTTTACAGATATCATGAAATTTCCAGAAAGGTGTTTTTCCGATTTCTATTTTTTCTTTTCAATTAAAAAAAAAAAATTTTTTTCTTTTGTCGTATTTTTCATAACACCGGTCCAAAAATTTACGGGAATCCTCAAAAAACAAGAAAAAAGTATAGAACCATCAGTTTAATATGTTAATCATCGAGAAAATCAATTTTTTTTAAAACAAAAGAAATTGAAAAACAACAAAAAATATAGAACTAAAAGTTAACCAGTTTAGCTTCTCAGAATTGCTTTTAAAATTTTTAATCCTTGTAAAGGCTCAAATCTATTTTCAAATTACTCTAGAAGTCGTCGAGAAATGATAGTTTGCGCCACCAATGAATCCTCCTCATAAAAAAAAAATTAATTAAGAGCCATCATTAGAAACAATATTGTTAAAGAACATTTTTTTGCTTAGCTAAGGAAAATGTTTTTATTAGTTTAAGAATTATTGCATTTCAGACATCATAATCATGTATTAAACCATTTGACAAAACCATTTTAATTATAAAACTTAGAGTATCAGAGAATTGTTCATTTCAACGCCCACCATTCATTAAGCATTAAATAAAAAAAAACAATTGTTTTTCAATTTCTTCTTTGATTTAAAAAAAATTGATTTTATCGATGTTAAACATGTTCAACTTTTGGTTCTATACTTTTTTTCTTGTTTTTTGAGGATTCCAGTAAATTTTTGGACCAGTGTTATGAAAAATACGACAAAAGAAAAAAAATTTTTTTTTTAATTGAAAAAAAAAATAGAAATCGGAAAAACACCTTCCTGGAAATTTCATGATATCTGTAAAAAAATGTCAAAGTTTAGAATGAGAAAAAGAAAAAACAAACTAAAAATGGTATTCATCAAAAAATTCGGAGTTTTTTCTAAAAATTTTAAAAATAACGATGAAGATAGCTTTAAAGAATTTTTTTATATTTTTTTCCAAAAAAAAAATTTAAAAAAAAAAATTTTGAAAAAAAAAAC